TCTCTCTCTCTCTCTCTCTCTCTCTCTCTCTCTCTCTCTCTCTCTCTCTCTCTCTCTCTCTCTCTCTCCGCACCACCACCTAATGGCCCCACATTGGCCTGTGCTACCCTCGTCTCGTTGGCAACAATGGTTTTCTGCTTCCATCATCATACTGTAGGTGAGAAATGAAACTGGCATGACATCTCCTGGTGGAAAATCCACTATTCAAATCCGAAAGCAGCATCTCCCATCCATGAAGTGTTTCAAGAGTGATGGTGTTTTTTGCTACAATGTCTGTGCAGCCGAAAACTGGTGTTCGTGACACACTTTCCTGACAAAGACACCACAAGTCCCAACGCTAAAGATAGGGAGGAACACCTGGAGAGACAAAGTTACTGCCCGCTTTTTCATGAGCTGTTTGAGGGAAAGGGTTTTGGAAAGTGGCATATGGAAGACAAGATCACCCAGGGGGTTTTGGCTTAGGGAAAAGACGGACTTGCATCTTATCGTCTATCCAGGTTATCCGTGCTGATTAGGACACAATATAGTGACTTTCTGGAGGTCATTTGTGACATTGCAGATGCTCACCAACCATCCATCATCGTCTTCGTCTCTGCAGGTACAAGAAGGAGCAGGAAGAAAAGGCAGCAAGGGAAGCAGAGGAGCGAAGACTGGAAGAGCTGAGAATTCTGAACCAGGGATGGATCGAAGTATCCACGAGGGCAGCAACAAAAATCCAAAAAGTTTTCAGAGGCTGGAGGGTGCGCCATGAGATATTCCTGAAAAAGAAGAAAAAGAAGAAGAAGAAGAAGAAGGGCAAGCGCAGAGGAGGTGGTTTTCTGCCTCCCCGGACTCCGCGGAGTAAAGGAAAGACCCCTAAGACTGCTGGAAGCGAGAAGAGCCAAAAGTCCACTAAGTCTCCTAAGCCTGGTTCTGCAGCTGGTAGTCGCATAGGCACGGCAGGTAGCTCCAAAGTTGTGGAATCCCGAGCCATGACCCCTTCGAGTGCAGGGACTAGGAAAAAGTGATTATTATATAGATAATAGCGGGACTGTTTGAGGGCCTATTACCTCCTTCTCCTGAATACATCGTACGGTCATTATAGCTGTATTTGGAGTCTCTTTCAGTCTCAATACAGCTATAGTGACCGTACGTTGTATTCCGGGGAAGAAGGTAGTCATCACAGTTGACTCCTGGATGCAAGAAGAGCCAAAAGTCCACTAAGTCTCCTAAGCCTGGTTCTGCAGCTGGTAGTCGCATAGGCACGGCATGTAGCTCCAAAGTTGTGGAATCCCGAGCCATGACCCCTTCGAGTGCAGGGACTAGGGAAAAGTGATTATTATATAGATAATAGCGGGACTGTTTGAGGGCCTATTACCTTCTTCTCCCGAATACATCGTACGGTCATTATAGCTGTATTGTTAAGACCCGGACCAATTGCGAAGTACAAATTCACCAATAAAGCACAATGCTGCCCAATTGCAAAAGAAATGAATGAACTTGAGAGGATTGAG